GCCAGCCTGACAGGAAAGTCTATGAGCTGAAAGTGGAGCTATGGTTCAAGCAGTAAAGTGGTAAACTTAAACAAAAAGACAAAAGGAATAAAAAAGGCTCAGGGACAGTGCCAGGCCCTAAGTTCAAGTCCCAGATCTAGCATGAAAAATTAAGAAAAAAGTGATAATTACAAATAGATGAAATAAGGATGGGGGAAAGGGAGAAAAGAAGAAGCATGATTAGCTAAAAGAAAAGAATGACAAAAGAAGTATGGAGAAGATTACAAATAAATACAAAACATAAAGAAAATGAACATAAAGAAATAAATGAAAATGTGAATGACTTTTGGAAATAATACTAAAATACAGTAAAACATAAAAATAAAAGAAAAAGCCAACACATTTATACACACTTGCCTACAACTCAACGTATTTACTTACAAGTTCATAAGCTAAATCTAGCTTCCATATATAAGTCTCTAGGGACTTGACTTATTTTACTTAACATAATTTTCCACGCCTTTCATTTCATTACAAATGATACAATACGGTTCTTTTAATGGATGAATAAAATTCTATTGTGTATATATACCATATCTTCTTGCTCCATTTGTCCATTGAGGGGTATCTTGGTTGATTCCATGCATTCAAAGGAGATCTTAAATAATGTAATTTTGCCTTAGGAAGGCAAAATCAAAGTTCAGCAGAATAAAACACCAGAAAGCGGGTACTCAAAAGGGTGAGATCCAGGGGAAAAGGAAAGAGGTAGGGGAATGAAGAGGAGATGAGGGGGAGAATATAGTGAAGAATCCAGTGTATATTCTACAGAATTAAGAAGAGTAAGGAAAGGGATGGGTAGAGGAGGGATGGGTTAGAATGCTGAAAGAGGTGACATTGATCAAGGTATATTGTACTCATAAACTGCTTTGTTAAATGGCAACTTCTTTGTATAACTACTTAAACTTAATAAAGATAAAAAAGAAAATGTATTTACAAGAAAAGTAAAAGGTTTAAAAATGACAAAGAATCCGTTTTCTAGGTCCTCTAATACTGGAGTCTGTCAGGTGGAGACAGTCATGAGTTGTCACTGAAGCCTCCTGCAGTTCCCACTTTTTCAGTCTGGTATTGTACTGTGTACAGGCTGAGGGCTTGACTGGTCAAGGGTCTGTTGTCAGCTTTAGGGCTACATTCACTTTATTTTCTTACTTTTCATATTTTTATGCCTTTTATAAATTGGCATTTATTAGTCATACAAAATACAAAAATGGAGACATTTTTACACATGTTGTATGTAGTGTGCTTTGAGAATTCACTTCAGAAATTTCCCTTCTTTATGTTTTGGGAGTTGTTGCTTGCCCTGATCTGCTTTGCAGCTTGGGGCTGGGCCAGTTTCTAGCTGTCCCATAGGCCTCTCAGTTTGTGCACCCAGGAGTGGTAAAAGTCTAAACGTAAGGGTGCCCTGTAATTGCATCAGAGAGTAGGGGAGCAAACCAAACTGATATCTAGACTGAAGTGAGAGAACCAAGGACTGAGTATTGTGCTTGGAAGTGTATATAATAATAAACCTCCCTGTGGGAGTTAGGAGGCTGGGGAAGTCAATCAATCCGCCTGACTTGGGCTCAGGTGTTGGTTCTAGCAGCAGGAAGCCTTCTCCAGAGGAAAGAGACACTGTGCATTGGAATGCAGCCCTCAGTGTGGGTGTGCAGTAATTCTCAGGTAGTGGGACTTACTCTAGCCACAGTAGGCAGGGCCTCTACCACCTACCCAGGTTCCCTGTGCCTGACATCCTCTTTCTTTATGACTCCCTTTCTTATCTGTGTCCCAACCAGACACTGTAGCATGGTGCCCTCAAAATCTCTGACTTCTTATTTTTTCTGGTTTCCAGATTTCTAGTCTCAAACAAAAGGTTTCCTCTCAAAACAACACCTGATTATAGCCTTCCAAGATATTGTGACAAAATGGATTTTTTTTCCTTCATAAGGAGTCATTCTCACACCAAATTCCCCTGTCAGATTTGTATACCACACTGTATAGATGAAACCAACCTTCTGAATTAAAAAAAGTAGCTATGATAGGTACATGTCAGAACTAGCTGCTCCAGAGGTGGAGTTCAGAAAGATTGCAGTTTGAAGGCAGCCCAGGGAAAACTGTTGGTGAGACTCCATCTCAGTTAATAAGCTAGGCTTCTTGGTTCATGTCTGTAACCCCAGCACTCAAGAGACTGAAGCAAGAAGATGCCATGTTCAAGACCAGCCTGGACTATGTAGTAATATTGTAAGGTAAATTATCAGGGAAGCCACAGTTTGGTAGATGGAATATTAGAGTCTTTATTACACCGTTAGCAGTCTGCAAGCAGTCTGTTGTTACAAAGGCCTGCAGCCCCCAAAATGCACAAAACATAGCTAGGAAACAGGCCAGAGAGGAAAGAAAGAACAAAAACAATACCAACAAGCCAATTCAACTCTGATAAAGAGCCAAATTGGGAGGCCATGATGATCAGAGACAAGCCAGGAGACAGGACACAGGCCAGGTTCACAGGGGGCAGGGTCACAAGATACTCCCAGCCCCAGGCACTGGACTGACAGGTTCAGCAACCTATCAGCCAAGTGCTGGTAGTCTCCAGGGTTCCAGGGTTCCAGGAATGCCCATCACCTGAGCGGGTTGGGGGCATCACCCTCCCCCACCATGAAAGCAAGATAACATGTGCATTTCTCTGAAGCAGAGCCCTCCTAGCTCACCTTGAGCTAGGCGCCTGCATTTCAGAGGATGGTTTGTGTCACCTCTAGGCCTTGGAGCTGGGTGGACAGCCCCTTCATCTCCTGTCTAGGCACTAGGATGTCTGCAAGAAATTATTTAGGCTCAGTCTCCTTACTTCAGTAAGACAAAGAAACCGAAAACCAAATGAAACAAAAGAAATTGTTCAGTTGGATTGTGTTTATTAAGGCAAAGCCAGTTTGGGTAGCACTTCCTTATAATAATCGTAGCTGGAGACATGTATAGGAGGATTGGAGTCTGAGGCTGACCCTGAGTAACAACACAGGAGCCTACCTAGAAAATGAGGTGTGAAAGGGTAGGGTACGTGCCTCACATGGTAGAGTGCTTGTCTAGCAAATGCAATGCTGTGAGTTCAAACACCAGCATTGCCATAAACAAACAGGTAGCTACATATAATATTTATTTTGATTGTAAACCTTAAAAGTTTATTGTAAATTTGTAGTTAGTCTGAATGAAATGTATGTGTACAGGAAATTAAGAACATTAAGCCTCTGTGTGGAGCTTAGTGATAGATTGTTTGCCTAGTGTTCCCAAGACTCTTGTTTCTGCCTCCATACCACAAAAATAATAAACAAAAATAAGCAATATATACTAGATGTCAGCTTCATATTTTGTTGCTCTTTTGCTTTTTTGTACATTTTTTATTGTAAAAGTACTGTACAGAGGGGTTACAGTTACATGAGCAAGGTAATGAGTACATTTCCTATCAAGCATTGTTGCCTCCTCCTTTGTTTTTCCCCTAGCATCCCTTCCCTCCCACCTCCACAGCTACCCCCCACACCTGCCGAAGTTGTAAAGTTTGTTTGTTTTCAACATAGCATATTATACATCTCATTGTTACAATGGCTCAACCTGTATCCCTATTTAAGAATTTTGTTTTTTCCCTTCTCCTCCCTGAATCAAAGAAGTGAATATAGAAGATGCTGGGCACTGACATCAAATACAGTGCAAACAGGGGTTATACTGTGGGGGAGGAACATACAAAGAAATAAAGAAAATCACACGGTACATTATAAATACATTAGAAACAATAGCAAGAAAGAAAAAAAATTTGTGTCCCTATCTTGGGGTACATTTTGCTTAACATCATCTTATATGGTCATATGTACATAGCTTTTGACCTTTTCTGCTTATCCTACACATGTACTTGTTATTGAAAATAAGGGAAACCATGAGACCTATGTTTCTTTGGGTCTGGCTTACTTCACTTAATATAATTTTTTCCAAGTTTTTCCATTTCCTAACACATGGGGTGATATCATTCTTTCTGATGGAGGCATAGAATTCCATTGTGTGTGTGTGTGTGTGTGTGTGTGTGTGTGTGTGTGTGTGTGTGTGTGTATGTATATATATATACTATTTTCTTGATCCATTCATCTACTGAGGGACGTCTGGGTTTGTTCATATCTTAGCTATGGTAAATAATGCTGTGATAAACATAGTTGTGCTGGTAGCCTTTGTATGCTCTTGTTTGTAATCATTTGTGTAAATGCCCAAAAGTGGGATTGCTGGGTCATAGGGGAGCTCTATGTGGAATCTTTTGAGGAACCTCCAAAGTGCTTTCCAAAGTGGTTGAACAAGTTTACACTCCCACCAACAATGCAATAGGGTTCCCTTTTGGCCACATCCCCTCCAGCATCTGTTGTTATTAGAGTTCTTGATTCTAGCTATTCTAACTGGGGTGAGGTGGAATCTCAATGTTGTTTTGAGGTCTTTTTGCTTTTGTCTTCATGTATTACACATTCTTTTAAGGACAGCTGTGTCTTTTTAACCCATGAGATAGGAAAAATATGAGGGATTTTTCATAGTGATACAAAATCTTTTGCTTATGTGTTATTGTAGGGATTGGTTTCTTTTAGTGATTCTTTTTTAGTGACCCCTTTTGCCAGCCGGTGTAAACTACTGTAACCTTACAGATAAGCAGTGATGTTGAACTGCTGGGCCACAGGGACATTGTGTGCAGGGACACTAATGACAGCTCATTGTTGGGCCTGTGTTTCCCAAGATGGGAAAACCCTGAACAAGGGGCACATATGGACACAGAAGCCATGCAGACACTTGATGACATGCCTTAGGGAAGTTGCAGAGAAGGCACCCTGCAGTTGAAGTGGACTGACCAGTGTCACCTGGAAGTGGGTGGCAGCCAGAAATATGCTTCGTGTGTCCATTCCAGTGTCCACTTGCACACTTCAGTGCACCAGTACAAGTATCCTATTAAAATCACATTTTGATGTCTTTCATTGTAGGCTCAGAAGTGGTTCATTTTGATGGAAAAAGTTCTTTGCTGTACACCTTTATTCAGAAATCCACAACTCCAACAAAGGAAGTCATTTCTCTGAATTTTAACTCCAGGAAGAGTGATGGGATTTTATTTCATAGGCAAGGACGAAATGGCAAGAATTTTACCTTGGAACTAGCTCAAGGAAAACTGGTCCTGTCCCTTAATTCAGGTAAAAACATCAAGGAAGTGTTTTTGAAAACACAATTATTTAGATGAAAGTATTTTATACTTAAATTTTCAGTAAATAGTGACTTTTACCTGAAACTAAACCCATGAATAATGAAAGGAGGCATGGAGTAATTTGTATAAACAGAATCTGCAGGTCAAGGGAACAAGGATGCCCTACAGTTGAGGAATAGTAAAATCAACATATGGGTATCTGAACTGTAATTTCTATACACAGCTTTATAGTTCAATTGTCTAGGAACCTCATTAGCTGCTCAATGATCATAGCTGCTAATAATATCATAAAGACACAAATGGATCATTGTAAAAGTTTGAGATACTAATATTAATAAGGTCACAATAAGAAAATATTTTCAACTTAAATGAAAATACAATGGATATTGAAACAGATTTAGTGGCACAGACCTGTAATTCTAGCACTCAAGAGTCTGAGAGAGGAGAATCAGATATTTTAGGCCAGCCTAGTATATGGTAAGACTCTGCCTCCAAAGAAACAGATCTATTGGCACACACCTGTAATTCTAGCACTCAAGAGGCTGAGAGTGGAGACAAGGCTAAAAGTAGATTGTGTTCAAGATTAAGGTTAATCTAGGCATGTGGTATACACCTGCAGTCTCAGCTATGTACAAAAAGGAGATAGGGGACCATAGTTTGAGGCCAGCTTTGAGAAAAACGAAACCCCACCTCAACAAAAAGCTGAGTGTGTTGATTTATGTCTGTCATCCCAGCCTCATAAGAGGCATAGGTAGGAAGATCATGGTCTGAGGTCTACCGTGGATAAAAATGCAAGACCCTCTCCAGAAATTAACTAAAGCCAAAAGGACTTGGGGGATAGCTCAGGCTATCAGGAGGAGCCCTTGCAGCTCTGATTTCAAACCCCAATTTTTCCAAGACAAAAAAGTAAAAGATGAAAATAAAACAATTAGCTAACTAATAGGAGATGGTAAGGAAGTTGTAATTGTGAAACATGTTAGACTTCTTTACTAGAAACCACAGTTCTGACCCAGCTGAACTCTCAGTATGTTCACTTTTCCTCTTTTTAGGTGAGGCTAACATGTCCTCCCTTGATGTGCCAGCAGCCCTCAGCCTGGGCAGCCTGATGGATGACCAGCACTGGCATTCCATTCTCCTGGAGCTGTACAGCACACATGGAAGCCTCACTGTGGACAAGTACACTCAACTCTTCCAGGCACAGCCAGGATCCAGCTATCTGGATCTTGGTTATAAGGTGGCAAAATTCCTTTTCAAGTGTATCAGATTATATAACAGAAATCTAATATAGTCTTCTAGGGAAAATAGGATTTTATAGAGCAATATCAACCCTTCCCTGGAAATTCAGACTCTGGTGGGCAACTTCTTGTGTGACCATCCCACCGGGGGAGATAATACATATGTGGGCAACTTCATGATGCCACAGCATCACTAGGTGAGACACCTTATAGGGACCACCTTGTCTAAGCTGTCTGTCCTGTCTTAAGACCCTGTATGATCATGATGTGGTTCATGACTCTGCAGACACACTACTGAGTTGTCTTACCATGCACAGATGTTAGTCTTTATATTTAGGAAGATAGTTTAGCCAGTCAGTATGTATTAAGACCCTATCTCCTTGTCTCCAAAAGTGCTTGCTTAAGAAGCTAATGTATGAAAAGCAATCAACACAACAAACAGCATTTTAAGATGTGCTATTTTGGACAATTCTAGGTTTTATTTCTCTGTCTCTCTGTCTCTGTCTCTTTCTCTCTCTGTATTGGTACTGGTGTTTGAACTCAGGACCTGCATACTTTTTTTCTCAAGGCTGGTACTCTACCACCTGAGCTACAGCCCCATTTCTAGCTTTTTGGTGGTTAATTGGGAATTTAGTCTCACAGACTTTCCTGCCCAGGCTGGCATTGAAGTGCAATCCTCCGATCTCAGCCTCGTGAGCCACCCATATCTGGTTGGATAATTCATTTTTAGTTTGGAATGTGATTGTCAGCCATAGATATTCATTCTTGCTTCAGATCATCCTAAGCAGAGTAAGTGACCTTATGAAGTAAGGTGGCTGAGCCTAAATAATTTCTTACAGACATCCTGGTGCTTAGGCCTAGAGGTGAGACAAGTCATCCTTTGAAGTGCAGATGCCTGGCCAGTAGGGTGAGCTAGGAGGGTTCTGCTTCAGAGAAATGCAGATGTCATAGCCTTAGGAGGGCTTTGATTAGCTCCCTAAATGGCTTGGATCACCAGCCTCTGAGTAACCTCTAAGCATACCCTATATGGAAGGTTAAGGCCTATTTTCCCTTGATGGGAAAGTTCTGCTGGTACCTGAGTATGTCCATTTAAGGCCTGGCATCTTGTCTTCATGGTAGGGGGAGGGTAATAATTCCCCCCTCCCACACACACACAGGTGATAGGCATTCCTGGATCCTTGGAGACAGGGGTGGGCCCTTGGCTGATAGGTCGCTGAACCTGTCAGTCAAGTGCCTGGGACTGGGAGTGTCCTGTGACCCTGTCCCCCCCTGCCCAGACTCTATTTAGGCATGGAACAGCATAGGCTTGGGATGCAATGCCATGTGTGTCTCCTTGATCCTGTCCTGTGTCTTATTTCCTGGCTTGTTTCATCACGGCGTCCCAATTCAGCTCTCTATTGGAGCTGAATTGGTTTGTTGGTATTTTGTTCTTTCTTTCATTTCTGGCCTGTTTCCTAGCTGTGCTATGTGTATTTGGGGGCTCTAGGCCTTTGTAACAACTGGCTCTCTGTGGCCTGCTATGTAATAAGGACTCCAATAGTCCATCTACTTAAATGTGGCTTCTGGGATAATTCACCTTACAATGCTTGGAGAGCTCAGACTTAATCAACATGCATTTTACATGATTTGTTAAGTATGAAGAGAGATAATATTCATAAACCTATACACTTTATTTTAGTGATTCTGAAGCCCCAATCTCCACCCTATCCTGAATTTCAGTACTTGTTCTGATGGCTCTGCTCAGCGTTGCATCAGGCATATCAAGCAAACCAGGGAACTGCATGCAGTGCTCACTGGCATCGGCATAGGAGACCAAACAAGGGCAGAGCTTGCTCTTGAACAACAGCATCAGTGGATTGATTATGATGAGCTCACAGCATTATGGTAGAAGCCAATACCCCACAACCTGGCTGCTAGAAAGTTTGTTAAGCCAAAAGCCATCGAAGTAGGATATGTTCTTATGTGGATCTAGATTTACCATAAAAATAAAGATGAAATAAAGATGAAACACCATCCAAAAATAACAAGTCATATGACTGACAAATTGTAGTAAGGAAGTCTGACTATTGTAAATATGGTGAAAAGAATAAGTTGCATCTTAAAACTTGATTTGCAATGAACATAGCAGTGTAAAACAATACAAAACAAAATTAAGGCCAATTATCACTATACTTGTAAAACATTTCAGCCTGATAATCAGAAAATAATTAAACAATATGATTTTATGCCATTGTTTTTCTTTCTAAGATCAGCTTTGGAGGGATTCCTGAACATGGAAAATTGTCGACATTCCCACACAAAAACTTTGATGGGTGTTTTGAAAATCTCTTCTATAATGGAGTGGATATCACTGATCTGTCTAAGAAATACAAATCACAGATTCTCTTCATGGTAAGCAGGCCTAACTTTGGTGCGGGTTGAGGGGGAGTATGGGGAGTGGGGGAGAAGGAGAAACAAAGGAGGAGGCAACAATGCTTGATAAGAAATATACTCATTACCTTGATCATGTACGGTATTTTCACAATAAAAAAGTCATAGGGTTCATAAGCAATGTAGATTAAGATAACGATGACTATCATTGTGAAGATTAAAAGGTGTTTGAGACTTTAAAGCAAATAAATAATTCAGCTTTCAACAGCCTGAAAAAAAAGAATTTAATAGAAAACCTGTAATTTAATTCAGTAATTCAGGTTTTTATGTTTTTCCTAAAGGTACAAATCATGCATAGTTTTCCTTTATGCTTTATTTTTATACCTGTGGGAAAACGGTTGCTTAATTTTACAAAAATGTCAAAGTATGTCCATAGCTTTTGGAAAATGTAGCACTTGGCCTTGAATTCATGGCCTCACACTTGCTAGGCTGGTGCACTTGAACCGGGTCTCCTGCTCATTTTTTGTTTTAGTTATCCTTTTGAATATGGTCTCTTGTTTTTGCATGGGGAAGCCAGTCTTAGACTATAATCGTCCTACTCACCCTCCTACTATATCTGGGATTATAGATGTGAACCCACACCTAGCTTGCTTGTCACAATGATGTTCTTATTAAGTTTTTGCCCAGGATATTCTTCAAACACGATATGCCTAAAGTCTACATCATGAATAGCTGGGAGTATAGATATGTACTACCATGCCTAGCCATCTAAATAAAACCTTATATTCAGTATTTTTAATTGTAAGAACATAACGAGATCCACTTTCTTAACAAGTTTTTATATGTGCAATAACATTGCCATAGACTCAAGGTTGTCCAGAGATCTCTGGAACTTAATTTACATAACTGGAACATTTTGTTAGTTCTACACCAACTCCCCATTTCCACTTCTTCCAGCTTCTGTTACTACCATTTTTCTCTCTGCTTTTTCTGAATTTGATTGCATTTCATAGAAGTGGAATCCTTCCCTTTTTGTCCTATAAATGGCTTATTTCCCTGAGCATGGTGTCTTCCAGTTTCTTCCAGGTTGTCCCTTATGGTGGTATTCTCTCCTTCAAAGCTGAATCCCAGTCCATCGTATGTGTGTGCCATATTCCTACAGTTAATGTGGGGAGAGGGCTAGAAGGCTATAGCAACTTCAATCATGTATGAAAATTACACTAGCACTCCACCCTATGCACTTTAGATCATGAATGTCATAGTTTGTAATGTTTTATACTGTGGATCCATGATAGTATTTTGTATAATTGTTTTTAAAACTTTGTCTATCTTTTACACCAGAATTGAAAGTGATTTTTACAGTACATTTGCAGAGTTGCATTTTCCTTTATTTATATGCTTACTTTTAACAAGTTTTATACTTTCCTAGACTTTGCTGTGCTATTTAGCTTTGCTTTGTTTCAACTTGATGAACTCTTTTAACATTTCTCATAAAGCTGATCAACAGATGATGACTTCTTCAGGTTTGTTTGGGAAAAATTGTTAAATCTTCTTCAGTTTTTTTTTTTGGTCCGGTCATTGGGCCTGAACTCTGGGCCTGGGTGCTGTCCCTCAGCTCTTCAGCTCAAGGCTAGCGCTCTACCACTTGAGCCACAGCGCCACTTCCGGCTTTTTTCATTTTGCTTATGTGATGCTGAGCAATTGAACCCAGAGCCTCAGGCATGCAAGACAAGCACTCTACCACTGAGCCATCTTCCCAGCCCATCTTCTACAGTTTTGAAAAACAAATTTCCTTCAAAAATGATCAGATATGGGCAATTTTCAGCACTTTGGCTATAGCTTCCAATGTTTCTATTGAGAAATGCATTGATTGTGTGTGGAAGTTCCCAAGTTTGTGATAATCATTTTTCACTGTCTGCTTTCAAAGTATTCCCTTTGTGCTGGAATTCTCACTGTTTCATTAGGAGGCTTCTTGGTGTGGTCTATTAGTTGGAGCCATCATATTTTGAATTCTTTGGGATTCCTAAATCTAGATGTCTGTTTCAGGAATTTTGTTAATATTTATTTAATTTTTCTGTTGTTTTACTCTGTCTTCTTGGACATATATAATGTCTGTATTAGTCTGCATGGTAACATCTTGTAAGTCACCCAGAAGCTTTTTTCCGTTTTTCCTTTTTATGCCTCTGATTAGCTAATTTCAGATGATTTAGCTTCAAGTTCAGTGATTATCTCTTTTGCCTGATGTGATCTGCTGTTCTGAAATACCTGTTTCTCTATTAAATATTTGTCAGATGTTGTTTTCTTAAATGTTAAAACCTAACATATAAATCTTTATTAAACTTTGCATTTGCTCATGCATTTTCTCCTGAGTTCATTGTGCATCCTTATGTGAAAGTAAGTTTGAGTGCCCAGATAGGAGATTCTTATATTCTGGATCACTGAATTTTAGTTCTTGAAGTTTTATCTTAATTCTTGTCAGGGAGGGGTCATGCTTGTTACTTCTTCATTTTCTTTAATTCTTGGTGGTCACATCTTCATTTCAAAAATAAGCAACCTTCTCTAGTTTTCATTGGCAGGTTTGCATACTGTATGACCTTAAGTAGAAAGCTCTATGTATTTTCCCTAATTTCCTAATTCAGGTACCTTTTCCTTCCTTCCTTCCCTGCTTCCTTCCTTCCTTCCTTCCTTTCTCCCTCCATCCCTCCCTTCATTTCTTCCTTCCTTCTCCCTCCCTCTCTTGCTCTTCCCAATTTCTGTCTATCACCCTTGAACTCTTCTTAGATGCTCAGAGGCACCTAGGCCCATAGCTTACAACAGCACTCATCTATGCTTAGATACACATGAAACTGATGGCAGTTCCTCAGAAGCCATCTGAGAATTCTGAATGTTGCTAGTTGTTTCTGAATCCTCTTTCATTTCTTTTTTTTTTTTTTTTTTGTGGGGGAAGGCATCCAGTTGTGGGGCCTGAACTCTGGGCCTGGGCGCTGTCCCTCAGCTCTTCAGCTCAAGGATAGCACTCTACCACTTGAGCCACAGCACCACTTCCGGCTTTTTTCATTTTGGTTATGTGGTGCTGAGGAATTGAACCCAGGGTACCTCATGCATGCAAGGCAAGCGCTCTACCACTGAACCACCTTCGCAGTCCCCCTCTTTCATTTCTTAGGGACAATTCTGATGTACAAGTCTTGTGCTGAGCCAGGAGGAAGAGCCCTTGCAGATAACTGAATGGTAGACCTTACGTTTGCCTTTGTTTTCAGATGCCCTCATCCATCTAGAGTATTCTGGGTCACATTAACACTCCAAGACAGGCAAGATAAAAAGCCAGTTCCTTGGTCAGCTTTCCAGAATGATGGGTGGAACATTGGATAGATGATCTGGATCTTCCCTTCCATCAGAGAAAGACTGCTTTGTGCAGACCAAGTGTTCACCCACTTGGTCTACACTGAGTGGTGGGGACAAGCCACAATGAACTCTTGCATGATAGTTCAAATTGCCATCCTCCAGTTGTTCACAAATTTAAGGCTTTTACAGGTGCTTGCTTGTTAGTCCACAACGTCATCTTTGTTCTCCCTGGCTGGGAGGTATCTCTACCATGGCAGATCTCATCTGTGATGAAAGGTTGTGAACAAACAGCAGTGCCTCATGTAGAAGCCAGTCACTGGAAAAGCTGGAATGTTGGACCCAGCCCATCTCTTTCTCTTCTGTGAAGCTGGGCTTTGGGGTTTCTTCAGAACACTCTGTGCTGTGCTATGCAGAGGGACAATTAGGAGTGCTTAGGTAGTTCAAATGTTGTTCTCAGTGAATTCCAGCCTCAGCCCTTTGCTGTTGGGGTGCTTAGATTCAGGAAAGACAAATGAGTGCTGTGAGAAGTGCTTGGAAAAGAACATTAGATGTTGGATGTATAGTGCAGTCCTTTTCTTCCCTTCCCAGGAATAACTGGAGAGCTTCGTTTTCTTGAAGTAAACTATGAGGTTTCTTGGATTTTGTTTCCAGCTTTCATGTAGGTACTTTCCTGTTTCTCTAAGGTCAGAAATGTCTCATCTGATTCTGTCTTTCACAAAAGAACTCTGTTTTTTAAAATCATTGAATCTGTGTCCATAGCAGAAAAGGGCAGAACTTCCTATATTACTAATGTGACAGCCATCTTGCTGTTACATTCATCTCTCTCTTTTGCATGGGTTATCTTTTCTCCTGTCCTTTTCTCTCTGTACCATTGGATTTACTCCCAGGTCATCTAATGCTCTTGAGCTAATGTTTTCCCTTCCCTGACCCATCCATAATAGTTAATCCTACATAGATCTGTGGATGAATACTTATATCTTTATGAATAGTCACCCAAATTGGGCATTATTTACAATGGGATTTGTGGTGTGTGTGTATCTGTGTGTGTGTGTGTGTGTGTGTGTGTGTGTGTATCTGTGTGTGTGTGTGTGTGTGTGTGTGTGTGTATGTGTACTGGACCTGGGGTTTGGACTCAAGGCCTGAGCTGAACTCAAGGCTAGTATCTACCTCTTGAGCCATACCTCCAATTCCAACTTTTCTTGGTGGTTAGAGATGAGTCTTACAGACTTTCCTGCCTCGGCTGCCTTCTAACTGAAATCCTCAGATCTCAGCCACCTGAATAGCTAGAATTCCTGGTGTGAGCCTTTGGCACCCAGCCTACATGGGATATCTATATCTATATATCTATATATATCTTACACACACACACACACACACACACACACACACACACATGTTTTGGTATGAGTATGGTGGCTTAAACTCAGTGTCTTAGCTTCAGCTGGTACTCTTCTACTTGATCCATATAGCTTAGGTTTTTATTTTTTGTCAGTCCTGGAGCTTGAACTCCTGGCCTGGGCACTGTCCATAAACTCTTTGGCACAAGATAAGCACTGCACCACTTGATCCACAGCCCCACTTCCAGTTTTCTTGTGGTTAATTGGAGATAAGACTCTCACAGACTTTCCTGCTCAAGCTGGCTTTGAGCCATGATCCTCAGATCTCAGCCTCCTGAGTAG